AAAAAAACTAAAGAAATGTTAGAATTTCCAGAGGGGTGGGGAGGGTCTTAGAAAATATTCTCTGGAAATATTGGGGATAAGAAATTATTATGATGCTATCATTTGTACCTCCACATCACTTTTACTTTTAATACTCAAGTAACATTCCTGTCCACTGAGACTGGAACAAGATAAGCAAGTAAGACGACTACTAACACAATCTATTTTATGGTTAAATTAATATCAAATAAATTTTGTGACAAAATACTATTTCTCTTCTGAATCAGTTCTCCATAAACTATTTTTATCATTTTCCTCAAATTCTATTATTCACTCTACTCTGAAGTGCAAATTAATGGATAACTTTTACAAAGAGTTACAAAAGTCGGCAAAATGTAATAAGTCACTCTCTCCGAAAGATCTAGCTATTCTGGGTAATTTTTCCATTGGTTTCTCTCATCTTAAATAAATTTGACTTGAACTTGTCGCAGTGACATAAGGGTTAGATGCTCTTGTCACTTCTAAATCGGCCATACTGGTATATGATATGGTTTTCCAGGTTCCCAGCCTTCCTCTCAGTCCAGTTACCTTTTGCCTTACCCCACTCCTATGGATTGTGGCAAAAACAAACAGTATTGTAGTGCTTACTGCAATGCGCTTGACATTGCCTGACTAATATCAGTCTAAACAGGTTTTTCTAAGTAGTTGTACATGTAATTTATACAAAACACACTCCGTGTTTATACCATCCTAAATAATGATCCAGCATTAATGATTATTTCAACTGAAAAGATACATCTACGCTTACACATATACCATCCTTTCATTTGGAGTTTGCCCTGGAAGTAATTTGAATTCTATTTTTAGGTAAGAAAGTTGAAGCTGAATTTGTATTATATGTTGTAAGTAGTAAATGGCAATGTCAACAAGCTGATTAGGAACAATAGTGAATAAGTTACACGCGTTCTCTTCTCTAGTTATACTATGCTACGACATAGTATGACACATGTCAATTATCACATTATGGAGCTGATTGTTGTATCTGATACGACGCTGTTCTCAGAGCTGTCTGTTCTGTCACTGCCGCAGATACTAGGTTCCTTCTGATTGGCTGGACACTCGAAATGGACACAGTGAAACACCTGAGAGGGTTAGAAAAATGAGAAGGATGTAAATTCAGTTTTTGTAAGAATGAGACAAAGCATGCTGAGGGTTTCCCAGGGGGGGTTTGGGGAACAAGGGAAAAAGATCATTTAGTTCCAGAGAACAAGGGGTATTTTTGGGATTAATTCCAGGGAACAAGGGATATCTCAACTATAAAGGGAACTTTCACTAAAAATTTTAGCAAATAATGGAATTTACTAATAGGGAACAAGTGAGAAAAGTGAAATTTACAAGGGAGCCAAGAAAAAGGGTGCTACAGAAATCTATTATTAATAATATAATTGTTATTAACAAGGTACCACCACCCAGGGCTCGAAAAAACCCCCGTCCGTTCGTCCGGGACAAGTAGATTTTCCCTTCGGGCAAGTAACTTTCTCTCCTTACTTGCCCCACGGGCAAGGACGCAGGCAAGCCGTTCGCCGAGTAAATTTTTGATAACGATTTTGAGAAGAAAAGGTAAATTTTAGGCTCAAGGGTAATCAAGTTTTTAGATGAAGCTTGACGAAANCAGTCAAGATGGGTTTAGTACATTAAAACACGCCTGTAGTTTGACTTCCATTTTGGGGTTCATGAATTATCAATGAGTTTGAAAACTTGGGAAAGTGCCCCGGGCAAGCAAAATTTGACAGTTAATTGCCCAACGGGCAAGGTGGAATTCAATATTTTTCGAGCCCTGCCACCCTCATGGGAGGTCCTCAGTGTTCTACATTTCTCAAAACTAACAAGAAAAGAATGTGCATATTAGCTATCAGTGAAGGAATTATTTACATTTTGCACAGTCAACCACATTATTGTAATAAAACAGAGCATTGCTTTAGTGACTCAGTGTTCAATATTGGAAGGGATGTTTGTATAGAAGACTTGTTTCCTGAATAATTATTGTGTCTACATGATCGTTAAATATGGAGGGTTGATTACCTCATTTGCTGTGTTCTCAACACCAACGATGCGCACAAAGACAACTGGTCTGGGCTCAAAGGAAAGGTATTGCCATGACCTATTCAGACACCAAAAGAAACAAAGTTAAGATGACAATTGATACAAATTACATGTGACATTTCACTGGAGGTCGGTGGGATTGACAATAAATCTACTCGATCTCTACAAAATTTGGACGTGTAGAAAAACATCTCAGTAAAATACATACACTGTAGCTAGGTTAAAGATACATGCGCCTCAATCTTAGAGAAAAGTCTGATNGTAATTTGAATTCTATTTTTAGGTAACAAAGTTGAAGCTGAATTTGTATTGTATGTTGTAAGTAGTTAACGGCAATGTCAACAAGCTGATTAGGAACAATAGTGAATAAGTTACACGTGTTCTCTTCTCTAGTTATACTATGCTATGACATAGTATGACACATGAGGATTATTGTTAATGATCACATTATGGAGCTGATTGTTGTATCTGATACGACGCTGTTCTCAGAGCTGTCTGTTCTGTCACTGCCGCAGATACTAGGTTCCTTCTGATTGGCTGGACACTCGAAATGGACACAGTGAAACACCTGAGAGGGTTAGAAAAATGAGAAGGATGTAAATTCAGTTTTTGTAAGAATGGGACAAAGCATGCTGAGGGTTTCCCAGGGGGGGTTTGGAGAACAAGGGAAAAAGATCATTTAGTTCAAGAGAACAAGGGATATTTTTGGGATTAATTCCAGGGAACAAGGAATATCTCCACTATAAAGGGAACTTTGACTAAAAATTTCAGGGAATAATGGAATTTATTAATGAGGAACAAGTGCAAAAAAGTGAAATTTACAAGGGAGCCAAGAGAAAGGGTGCTACAGAAATCTATTATTAATAATATAATTGTTATTAACAAGGTACCACCACCCTCATGGGAGGTCCTCAATGTTCTACATTTCTCAAAACTAACAAGAAAAGAATGTGCACATTAGCTACCGGTGATGGAATTATTTACCATTTTGCACAGTCAACCACATTATTGTAATAAAACAGTGCATTGCTTTAGTGACTCAGTGTTCAATATTGGAAGGGATGTTTGTACAGAAGACTTGTTTCCTGAATAATTATTGTCTCCATGATCATTAAATATGGAGGGTTGATTACCTCATTTGCTGTGTTCTCAACACCAACAATGCGCACAAAGACAACTGGTCTGGGCTCAAAGGAAAGGTATTGCCATGACCTATTCAGACACCAAAAGAAAAAAAGGTAAGATGACAATTGATACAAATTACACGTGACATTTCACTGGAGGTCGCTGGGACTGACAATAAATCTACTCGATCTCTACAAAATTTGGACGTGTAGAAAAACATCTCAGTAAAATACATACACTGTAGCTAGGTTAAAGATACATGCGCCTCAATCTTAGAGAAAAGTCTGATGAGCCAGCATTGCTAGGAATTTATCTTTGTTTTCTGTCTTATGTCAAGTAGCGATTTGGAGTACCTCTACTGAATTAATTCTACACAGGTTACCCCCGGACAGATTTTGTTAAATTGTGTTGTTCAAGAAAATATCCATACCCCTTCTCACTGGGATTTTTGGTTTTCAACACCCCCCCTCCCCCTCCCCTCCCCCCATCCCTCTGAAAATTCCAGTTTGAGTTCATAATTTCCATTAAAAATTTTGGATTTTGAAACCCGGGGTGGGTATGGATATTTCCTGGAACCACACGTTGCCCTGCAATTTGTCAGTAGGTATTATTTTGTAACCCTGGAGGACCAAGTGTCTCGCCCAAGAACACTACTAACAAAATTACCATGGCCTCTAACTGCTGAGTGGAGGTGCAGTGGCTTCATGATTAGTATGCTTGACTCTGGATCAAGCAGTCCGGGTTCAAGCCCTGACCAGGGACACTAAGTTGTGTTCTTGAGCGAGACACGTTACTACCACAGTGCTATCTCCACCCAGTTGCACAAATGGGTACTGGTGAATTTAATGCTGGTGGTAACCCTGCGATGGACTAACATCCCATCCAGGGGGAACTAGAAATACTCGTAGTTGCTTCATGCTACAGAAACAGGTATAAGCTCCGGCCTAATGGGCCACTTGGTTCGTATGCAGACTTTACCTTTTTTTACCCTAACTGCTTAATCTAAACTTGGCATTAATCCCTCTCCATCTCTCTCACCTGCACACTTCCTTTGTCTTGTCTACAACTCGAACCCAATTCAGCTGATCACATGAAACCTCGATGTAATAACTGTATCGCCGCTCGTCAAGGTCCCAGAGTAGAAGTCTAAAACAGAAACAAAAACGTGGTTGAATTTTCAGAATCCGTCTGAACTTATTGAGAAATATGATTCACATGGAATGACATGGACTGATGATGGTGAAGAAGCTCCCTTGGGATGCAACCCACTTCCTTCAATGCCACAAGTCACTTACTTCATTGTGCTGATGATGTAAGGTTGAGGTAACTGTACCACAATGGCTCCACTTCCTAACTGATGGCAAGTGTAACCAATGTTCCAGTCATAATTTCCAACTTCTCCATTCAGGAGGGCATTCCGACTGCGGCTCACACCCTCAATTACACTTGCTCCCAGAGAGGGTAAGGCAACATTCTCTGAGGGAACTACACAAATTAAAAGGAAAAGAGACAGGTACTTGTACAATTCAGCTGGATATTTCTATTCATAAGTTGTTATTTTTTTCTCATCTGAAAATCAAGGTTTTAACAACAATTTGTATAGCATGCAACTACATTCTGGGGACCACCGTCTATGACACTTTTTTTTCAAGTTTGCACATGTTAAGTAGACAGTTAACGAAGTTAAGAAGACTTACCAAAGTAGTGTGATGTTGGAATAGCATGTATACACTCAAAGACATTTTAAATTTGTAAGTTACCTGTATGATTTTCACGTATATGAGTTAAGTTGCATACATGTCCGATTGTCACATGTAGAGTTTACAGTTTTTGAGGAGGAGTTGTGTTTCAGAGAGGTTCATGCTAATTTAGGGATTACTATGTAACCATTTTAGATGAAGTGTTTTTGGCCAATTAAACATACCTGATTATAATGAAAAGTTCTCCATTTACTCCTTTCAAACAGCACTAGTTTTGTCATTCTGATCCATAATTGCACTAAAAAAACTACTGCCATTACAATACATCTTGACAGTTATATTAGTATTTTCACTCCCTACCAATAACACCATCTTCTCCCAACTCATACATGGTATTAGAGTAGCAGCACTCAAAGTGCACCAGGTGAAAAACCTTGTTAACAGTGTTGTGTACTCCATAGACCCTGATATACCTGTAGAGACACGAGAGATAAAACTACGTCAACAAGATCACAGTGTTAAAAACACCTCTACTGACCAAAAGTTACAGATTACATCTATTACATATACTTTCCCTACTGTTGACCAGGGTTAGAGCCAATATTGTGACCTCTTATCACTCCTTTAAAGGCCATATTAGCTTCATTGCCACATGACACGTTGTGGGTAGCACAAATTACAAAATCACAACTATCTGAGTGCTCTCCCTAAATGACCAGTTAGTTACTCAAACATCTACAGTTTTCTTTGCTGTCAAATACATTGCTATTCCCACTGGATTGGATGCTAAGTTCTTCACAGGTGGCCTCCAGCATTGTCTGCCAGGTTACCCACAGACAATCTACTGTGTGGAGTGTAGCAAATCGAGAGAAAGTATCTTTGTCGAAAAACACAGCACATTGATCCCAGTCAGGACTCAAACCCAGACTGCCTGTTGAAGAGGCCCGTCTCCAAACCATCAGTCTACCACTTCTCCATCAACTAAACTAAAATGAAGTTGCTGATATCCTGCTGAAGAGATGACGTGGCCTAGTAGATACCGCACTGGACTCCAGCGCGAGTGATCCAGGATCAAGTCCTGGCTGAGAATGTCATGTTCCGTTCTTAGGCAAGACGATTTGCTCTCACAGTGGCCTCACTCCACCCAGGTGTATAAAAGGATACCAGTGAATTTAGTGCTAGGCATAACCCTGCGATGGACTAGCATCCCATCCAGGTGGGAGAAGAAATACTCCTAGGTGCTAATTCAAGTTACAGAAACTGGGTATAAATGTATGGGCTCCAGCTATAAGGGTCTAACAGTCCAATGCAGACCTTACCTTTAGTTACTATTACACTTACCTGACAACCCGTGGCTTAAAATGCAGTGTCTGCCAGGACCTACAGAAATACTTGGTATAGTCTATAATCCTGATCCAGTCTTCGTTGTCCATAGACACCTCAATGTAGTATGAATACGATCTGGAGTCTTTATTCCAAAGCAATAATTTAATAGTGTTAATGATACTGGGTCTTCCCAAGGAAATACAGATGCCCTTGTCCCCTTCCAAAATGAGGTGTCTTGTAAAACCACGGTCCAAGTCAAAAGTTGTAGTGTCGCCGTCTAACAAGCACTCTCGCATCTCTCCTTCGATCACCTCAGCTCCATGTCGAGAAGTTGCAATATTTTCTTCTGGAACTGAAACAAATTTATAAAGGCAATGTCAAATCAAAAAGTTGAGGAACAAGGATCAGACAAAAGTTTTATCTGACTATCATTAAGCATTCAAAACAAACCAAGTGTATATGACAGTTGACACCATTTGTTGATAGCCATCTAGCCACCCAAGAAACGAAAAAGGGAAGAGTAGTAAAAGTAGAGTAAAGAAAGTGTGTTTACAACAATTTACAGTGAAATGAACACTTATAAGCTACTCTTGTGTGGAAATTAACAGCAGGCAAAATGACAAGCTAACATGTAATACCAATTTTGTTAGCATCTGTGCAATGCTCATACTTTTATGTTCTATCTGCCCAATAAAGTTACAACATTAGGTATAATTTGTACAATGAATAATCATTAGGGGAGTTGTGATATTCAGAACAGAATTAAATCTACAGGAGGCGCTAATTAACAACAGGCGAGAATTCCTTGTTTTTAGCTTCTTTCTGTGGATTTGTGCTTACAGGAACAACTGAACAAGCATTGAAAAGTAAAACTTGCTCTAGATATAAGGTTAACCGCTGTGCTTGATTTCAGATTAAAGCCTTTATGGTTCAAGATTTTACGTACTTTTACATTCTTTAACAACATGTACTGTACACTGAACAAGTTCAACTTTGTACATAGACTTACCCAAATGCCCTCGAAAGTTAATTTCATTGACCCGACTCTCTGTTTTAATTCGAATTGCATCGAGAATAGCATCCGGAGAGAACAAATCTGAAGGGCGGACAATGTTGAACAAATCGTGCAAACTAATGAGTGGAAGACGAACTTTATCCAAGATGTCCTTCAAATCAGCTTTGCACATCTCTTCGGCAGATTCCACCCATTCCTTCACAGCCCTGAAGATCTGATTTTCAGGCGCACAAAACGAGTCTCTTTTGATTATTTCTATCAACGCAGATTTCGTGAGGCACGAAAATCCCTCCGTGGATAACACCTCTACTGCATTGCGGTCCAGAAAGCTCAAACAGGTCGTGTACAAATCGTTCATTTGATACAACACGGCCGCGTCGAAAACAACACAAACGTTCCTGATGCTCAAGATAGCTTTGAGGTAGCCTTGAAGGGCACTTTCCAGAGCTAGAAACCCATATTTGTGCGCGAGACTCAACAGTTCCAAGATAGTTTCCTCCTTGTAATCGCCAAGGAACATTTTCCCAGAGTAAACATATTTCAGCAGCGCATCGAAAGCTGGCGCAGTGGTGTCCTTAAGTTCTATCTCGGTTTCTGGATTGGTCTCTCTCATTCCACCATACAACAGTGCCCTGAAATACTCGCTTCGGGCCGCTAGCATGACTCTGTGGGCAAAAAATTTCGACCCCTCCACCACAAATGTAACGTCAGTGAATTCTTGAGAGCGATAAAGGGCGCTCGCCTGAGAAGACAACAACTCCACATGATCAATTTCGCCGGCTGAAATTTGCGCATTTCCCAGACGAATATCTGGACTGTCACCCATAGAAGTATTCTCGACGAATCTGTCTTGGGAATGGCGTCAAACTTCCTCAGATCTCCTGAAGGTAAGGTTGTAAAATTGAATAATAACAATTTCCTCGTAAGATCTGAATTACTATCAGTTTACGTCAGCTTGGTAACCATTTAGATTGGGCACCAGATCCCAGCCCAGCAGGACCCAGCAGGCTCTGCGCGTTGTAAACACAGGTTACCCAGGTTTTCCTTCCGTAGTCACCCAAAGGCTGAAAAACCCATTAGCTATCAATCAAAGATCAACTTTCCTGATAGCCACCCACAATTTCTAGCAGCCTTTGTTTAAAATTATCACCACGCCCGATTTCTAGAAGTCAGTGATTTTCTAGTTCTTCTGTGATCGAGAGATCACGTGACTGGATACTGCAACGTGTTGATTACATTTCGCCTCTCTGATCATTTTGGAATCAACGTTGAAGTCACGAATCAAAAACGTGCTCTACCTTCAATTCTCAGTCCCAAGAAGTCAGAAACTAAGGCGATAGATTAAAAAAAAAAATTGCGGCTGAAATTTAAAGTCTCAAGTATTAACCGCTTGTACTTAACGATCTTGCTTCCTGTTATCCTAAACGTGATTTCTACCTCCTTTTCCAGGAGTCAAGAGTTTCCGATGAATAAATTGCAAGAGCACTTCTTTTTGCTCATACGCGCAGGCTTCTTTTTACTAATTGTGAAAAATGTATATTAATGTTAGTTTTAGAATACTGGTTAAATGAAAACATTGTTTAAAGATGACGATTTCTGTTATTCTTATTACCCGTCTGCTTGACAACGTACTGATCTACTCAGGAGAAATTAGAAATTGATCCTCTCTGGGAATACAACTATTAGTCCATTACACAACACCAAAGCTGTAGGCCAGAGCCGCGGAAGGCCCAGTGAAAACGTGTTCGTATTATAAGGTAGAGTTTACACGAATTCTGGCCTCTCTGGGACCAGGCGAACTGTCTGAAACATCAGAGAGCTGTCGTGATTACAGAGAGGTTCCACTTTATTTGGGTAAGAGGTTAAGGTGAGAACGGAGTAATCGTCATTATCAGTTATTTTTACATAGGATTTTTAATACACAAATATAGGAACGAAGCCTCATTAGGGTTGGTCTAAGTATCCTATACCCCATTCATTTAAGGCCTTAACATCCCGTATCCAACCGTATCCCATTAATTCCCAGTTTCAAAAATGAACAATCTCATACTCGATATTCAATCTCGTTCCCAGGGCCATTTCCCTGCCAGGGAAAAGGCCCTGGGGACGAGGTTGACTCGATATCCTGTATTATCTGTTCTAAATATCCCATCCTCCATTATTTTTCCCACAAGTATCCTGTTTCCTGTTAATTTTTTTCCTCAATTTCCCTTATCCCTAAAACCCTCATAGAGACCCAGCTAGACTGCTGCTGGCAGCCGTTCTTTTCTCTTAGGGTCACTTACACGAGGGTTAAGCCATCGGGAACGGAAAAGAGCGGTATGGCCGACGACCCATTCCCCTTTAGGCTAAAACGTCTCGCTTCATAACCCCTGCTGAATTTCGAGAGAAAAACCGTCTAAGACTCATGAAATATAGCATACGGTTAAACCCCGTGAAACAGTGTGCATAATCCACAGTGTGCCATGTAATTGGGATAGGGGAATACCTATGCGTCTACCCCCCTATAACAGCTGTATAAGACGTCAAGCGAAAAAGCCTAGCGCATGCGCAAGCTAAACAACGCCAAATAAAGAATCGGCCTCCATTAGTTAAATCTCCGAAGGTTGAAAGCAACATAGAGTTAAGTTACACCACGAAAAATATCCTAACGCATCATGCGAAGAAGAGGAATATGCAAGACAAACTGGATTGATTTTAAGACTGAAAATAGAAATTTGCACTGCGCATGTAGTTAATTGTTAAAAAATAAGTAACAAACACCCCTTTCACTCATACATTACAAAATGAAATGCACGCTTTGTGCGTAATTATGTAACAAGCTTGCGACAATTACTTCTACGAGGCGACAAAACAGAGACGAAAAGAGTGCCATTTTGTTTGCGTTCTGCCTACCGATCATTCATTCAGATGTAATGAACTGTACTTTAGGTACAACAACGCAAATGAGACTAAATTAAGATATGTGGGGGTAGTTAGCGCTAACGATTGATGGGAGGAGGGTAGCGAGTTGATGACGCAGTTTTCTTTCTCATTTAGCTTTCAATCACTAAATTACAATCAAACTTTATCTTGATGAACTACGACAAAAATACCACTCTTGCAAACGTGATAGAATTGTCCTCAAAGCCCTTCAGTTCACCCGACTCGATTTCATTAACAACAAATTCGTGCCACGAAGCCCCCCTTCGATTCTTGCCTTTCGCCTTCAGATATTGAAAAGATTTCACTTTGTGTTTTCAACCGTTAATTAAAGGCTTGTTTTGAATTAAGGCCATAATTACTTTCGGGCGTAAAAACTGTACTTAACTTCAAGTTAGTCAAAGCTTTTTCAGTCCACAACATAATGCTCATCTAATAAAATAGGCTCATTTTGCACTCATTGTCGCTGCATTGTGTATGGCGTTTGGCGTCTGTGGCAGAAAAATGCTTCAATGGCGGCTTTGCTTTAAGCGACGGGAACAGGCACACGAGAGGAAAACTAACAAAATTTGACACAGGTTTCACCGGAAATTTAAGTTACGTCGCGAAACTTAAGAGTTGAGTTTTCAAGAGATAACAATTTATTTGATAAGAGCTATAGTGAAAACAGATAGAGAACTCCGTGAACTAACCGAGCGAACATACACGAATTACAACGAAAGGCAGCTGTTTTGTTCGAGTGTAGTCGTTCTTTTGTAATGACAATAATGCTTTACTTCTGAAGGACCCGATTAACAAGCTCATTGAACCTAGCCACATGCCAGGCAATTACGCCCTTTTTTTTTCGCAAAGAACGTAGCGGAAAGACTCACTTCAAAAAGCCAGAAAATATTGGTTATTGACTCTTAAGGGGTGTTATTACAGTCACTGTAATCATAATAATAATCTTGACAGAGCTGGTGAATTAACCCATCGGTGGTTAATAAAAGTGTTTTTTTTTTCTTTTCCCGAAAGTCATAATTTCTCGTGTTCAAAGATTTACCGATGTAGGGTGGCTTTGGGCAATCATTATGTGAAGTTGTAATGATGTGCTGTGATTAGTTGCTTAGAAAATTAGTCTGTACTAGCTCGTAACCATTTACAACGAGCTGTAATTTTCAACTTAAGCTGAGATGATTCCGTATCACCTGTCGTTGAAAAGTTCCCTGAATGATGTAAACACATCATTTGCGCGGCACCGCAAAAGATCACAGAAGCCCAACGAGTTTGCAATTTTAGCAATTTCATCAAATATTTAATAGTTTTTCGCCATCAGGGCCCTGAAGACGTCAATTTATTACGATTAGCCGCCTTTTTGTTGGGAGTTTTCTAATTATTTCGATTCTTTCTAAATGAGTTTCTTTCTCTCTTTTCATCGAATGCTGAGAGAGAAAAAACATTGTTGAATCGGCAGTGGAAAAGATAAACAGTTTTTACGGCTTCAGCTAAGGTCAAGGCTATATACGGAGTAGCTTAAGCTCCTAGATTTGCTGTGTTGTTTTTCCATATTATTTCGTAATTACTGATTATTACTATTTTTTAACAGTCCCAAGAATTATTTAATGAAGCGTTACTGTCTTAAAATTTCAAGTTGAGGTACAAATTTTACTGTAACGCCCAGAAGGCAGATTCGAGTTTTAAATTAAAATCTACGAAGTTAATTTTCCGACTGAAATCAATTGAAAGGCTTTCTACGTGAGGGGATTTCCTTCGAAAGGAAACAGAATGAAAAAAAGAGAGAGAGAGAGAGAGAGAGAGAGAGAGAGAGAGAGAGAGAGAGAGAGAGAGAGAGAGAGAGAGAATAATTACAATCTTTGGAAACCCGCAATATACAATGACAGCCGCTAACCGGTGAACTTGGTGACGTTAACCTGCCCGGAGAAAACAATTCTTGTTTTCATTCAGACACTATATACCAATTTTAGTAGTAATGAGAAATAAAATACATGTACCAACGCGTCGAATGCTCTTGTTTGCCTTTTGTTAAACGTTTATTCATTCAAACCTTTCTATAATGATTGGTGAATGCAGCGAATCGTCCATGAAAGGCCAATGCATTTGGTGGGGTCCTTTTGGTTCGCTAAATTGATTTCAAACAGTTTCCCCTGTCAAAGTTTTAATGATAATAATTTGAATTGAAAGTCTCTCAGTCCTTCAATACCTTTGCTTTCAGTCCTTTTGGGCCCCGGGGTACGATGACCGACGATTTGAAACTTCTTTCATTCAGAACTTATATAACTATCTGCTCTTTACAGCAGGCCTTACGGGATTTTCAAACGAAATACAGTTTAATTTCACGAGATCTATATTAGAAATGCATGGCACTATAATTTCTTAACAAGCCAGCGGCCCTATCCGAAATATTAACAAGGGACGGGCACAAATTACGTGATGTAAAGTTCTACAGCTTCGAATTTCTTGTTGATGTAAGATGCTGGTCGCGAATATTTTTAACAACTTTGAGTTTCTCGAATCAAATTCCAAACTGCAAAGGGTTTTGGTCTACAACACTTTCACGTGCTAGTATAACAAGCCATAATCTTTTATGCAACACTAGGAAATACGAAAAAATTATTTCACCCACAAAAGATATACTTCTATCTGGTCTGCCAAACGTTACTTGTGGAGAAAATGAATAAGACTTGCGGAGGTGAAAGCGAGGTAAAAATTTGTCGAGTGCAAAAAACCTTGAATTTCGAACAGTTCTGGAGTTTTCTTAATCAAGATTTTTGTTCCATTTCATTTGAAAAGTTTCTTTCAGTTTCTATATTAGCGAACTAATGTAACTCCTCAAGTGTTCTTATTGAATTAAAATTGACACAAGTTCAGAGTTCAGATTGCTTTCTGTGTGAACATATAACTGACAGAGCAACGAAGAAAATTAAAGGCCTGCAGTTAAAAATATATATTTACAGGTAGAATCGGGGTTAGAAAATCCTACAGAAGGGCTATTTTTTGTCGGATGAGCCCGCCAATGTTGACAAGCAAAATATATATATATATATCTAACACAACATCTGAATATCAAACTTTGTTCCGATTCTGTTAAAATAGTCCAAAAGCTGCACAAAAAACACAGGTTTCATTCGCAAAAACAAGCTTACTAAAAGTAGTGTCTGTTATGATTCGAATAAAAGTAACCTCTAAACTAAAACCGAACATAATTTGAAACAAATTTACTCCGTGCACTGGAAACAAAGACATTAAAGTCCTCGAGAGGTATCTAATTTATTTCGCCCTTCTTTCAAGCGAACAAGTCTCCGACTTTCACTCGCACCTTGGGACATTTCATTATATTTTGTCGTGAGTGACAGCTTGTCAATTCTGCTCTCACGATCTCTTCTAGTTTGACATTTCATGGGGTTCCTTCCGAGAAGCATTGACGTGGTTTCCTTGACAAAAGATAAAGCGTGCCTAATATATCTTCAGGTCATGAAATAAGCGACTTTTCCATGGCTTGAATATGGTAATATCAGCGGGGAATATAATACTCTCTTGTTTTTAAACACTCGCAGGGGCTCAGATGGCTTAGCCTTGAGATAATGTCAGATGAAAGCAAAGGCTTAACAAGAAACTGTTAATCCAGGCTTTTTCCCCTTTTATTGAATGTAACAAGCTACATAAATTCGTGTTTTAAATCAGCTTTTCTTCTGTTTTGTAAACAAGCCGTTCTTAAGGAGTTACGGAACAAAAAGAAGCGGTTAGAGCTCGTGTAAGGCGATGTTTCAATGTTTACACTAAACCTGAACTTCCACTAATTAAGAGGCAAAGAGTTGGCTGCGGGCTTTTTCAGAAAGGCATTTCATTTGCGTTGTAAAACGAATAGCCAGCCAGTTTCGGCTACATTATCGCAAAAAAAAAAAAAACCATGCAACTCGGAGACCCCACATTGAGCATGCTCTCGAAAAGCGTCAGAGAAAAATCTTCGTCAATTTATGACTGTCGTTTGATAGATAATATAGCTAATAAATGGCAACCATAGAAAGCCGTGTGTCCTAAGGTTTGATTGACAGGTGTGAATTGATTGTTCAATTTCCTTCGCATTATTTCTCTGTTGAGGACAATAGCTAATTATGGCCAAATGAAGATAAAAGTGATTGCAGGAATATTAAAGCTATCCAGATATATTTGGCAGCCACGCAGTAGATATCACATCCGTCAGCACACGGAGTCGGTCCAACATTTTCGGTATCGCCCGTGAGAAGTTTTATCAGCGAATATGAACCGAGAAGTGCAGTTTTGCTTCGCGATTCCTCGGTCCGAGCCATTCCCTCCTGTGAAACGTTCATCTCCGATTCACTCTTTCGCCATCCATGACATCCTTGGCCTTGGAGAGAAGAATTCTAAGCCGAAGGAAACCAGCCCCCAAAATCCAACCCTGGTAGAGTGTTTTTCACCGATTGCGTCGCGTTTAGAAAACCCGAGTTTAGAAGCCGACAAGACAACTATCATATCAGGTTAGTGGTGTTCAGCCATAATTTATAGTTCGTTATGCCAGGATCGGGTTTCGTTTAACTACTTTTTAAACACTCCTTCGATGACTCTTTTAGCGGTTGTTTCGCCCTGGCCTCCCGTGCCATTATTGGAGCAAATGATCTTGTAATGGTCTGTAATGCCCTAATTAACAAGCGGTGTTCATTTCAAGCCTTCGCGGATTGCTTCAAGATCGCGTCCAAACCAGCGCACATGAGGATTTCCCTCCGTCAACTTCCTGTCCTAGTTCTAGTTTTACCCTTGGTGAAACTTATACTAGTTCTCAAATTGCTCGGTGTTTCGACGATATTTACACCAAAATGAGTGTGGTCTTCCTTCAAAATATTTGATTGTAGTTTAATGGCTTTCTAACTAAAGCCCACATCGCTAGCAGCTGGCGCACTAAATTGTATGATTTCACAAGAAATTTGCTCGGGTTTGTATTTTTCATTTCGTTATTTGTCTTCTCGATTACTGCACAATTTTACGCGATGTGTCATGGCGAATTTTTGGATGTTAACTCTGTTTAATTTCTATATTTAACTGAAAATGACAGATTTACCTCCAGTAAGAGCTTGCTAATTCGCAGAAATAACAACTCGTTAAAAGTGTCTCGTAAGCCGTGATTAAAACGCAATATTTCATCCTTCGCAGATCACAGAACGGAGGAAAGCAAAATTGACAAATGCGGTTTCCTGAAGAGCGACAAAAACGCAGCGAGCAAGAAGGCACCTAAGAAGCGAAGACATCGAACAATTTTCACGAACTACCAACTGGAAGAATTGGAAAAAGCGTTCAAAGACAGCCACTACCCGGATGTTTACGCCAGAGAAAATCTCTCTGTGAAGATCGAGTTACCAGAAGACCGAATCCAGGTACGCAGAGATTAGATGGAAATTAATTTCCTCTAATTTTCTCCAGCTACATTTGTGCGCGCGCGCAATTCAAGGAGACATCTTCAAAAGAAACCTTATTTTGCTGTTAAATTTTTAATTAGTCCATTTCACCTTCCCTACATCGCTCGACTAAGAAACCATCTGCTGCATTTCGGCGAACAGAAGTAATCTGGTTTTGTATTGAAGCGCTGTGTGTCTTTTTTGCGACCGCCACGGAAAGAAAAAGCAAAGAATGAAAACAGCTAAGCGCTGATTAAGGTACAAATGGGTCTGACCGTGTAATGTCGTACCAACTTGGCGGATTTGTTTTGTTCGCTCCGATGGTAAAAGCTCCGGGGAAAAAAATTAGTCGCAATTGGCATTCATTAGCGTTCATTAAAGTTATGAACTCCTTTTAATTACCGTAATTACACGCCGACCTGATTTAGACTAAGCAGGTGTTTTTTCGATCTGACAACAAGCAAGGGTTTCAATAATTCTTTTTTCCTGAAATAATAATAATAGTAATAAAATCGAAATCACAACTCACGTCAAACAACGCTCGCAATCTTGAACCATATCTTAAGTCCACACTTGAGGTAAATTAAAGAAAAAAAATAAAATTTATTATATATATATATTATTTTTACCTCCATGCGAACAAAGGGGTTGCCAACTGGTGCGAAAAATGTTTGTTAGAATATTAGCTATTGTGAAAAATTGGGGGAAAGTATGCCCTAAATGTACGCTTTCGACTTTATTCATCGGAGAATTACATCGGAAGCAAGGGTGAAAGAGGAACAGGCCTCGTATAATAAAACCCTAATTGGAAACTGTGCACCGTTTCCACTTTGGCGCCTAGTTTTGGGGCGGTTTCACCCTATTTTTTTTTTTTTTTTTTTTTTCACAAAAGGGTCTTACACAATCAACAGATCATTAAACTGTCAAATTAAATCAATCAATCAACTTTTATTGTGCACTTTTTGCAGAATTAACTTACATCACTATTATAATTAAATAAATATTAGAAGAGAAATCTATTTTGCATATAGCTATGGAAAGAATAAAAAAATATGTGTGTGGTAACCAGGGTATAGGGTAGCAATTGCCTTTTGAAGTGATTACTACCATGTTAAGAAAAACGCAGAGAAAAAAAAACNGAAGCAACATCGCTCCCCATTTTTAAAAATCTTCTTAGACTTTATTTTAGAGAGTAGTTTTTATTTTTAAATTTTTATAATTGTAAACGTAAATCTCTATGTATAGAAATTTAATGTAGTCTTAATTTACGCAGGGCCCCTTTTGATACCAGCCAAGTGCTGATTGGGCCACCCTGCCCAAATAAAGTTGACCTTGACCTTGACCTTGAGGGAGCCTGGGTCGGACTGTTTCATAGATGGGACATGTGGGATTTCGGAAAGACTCCTTGGACTTGTGGATCTAAAAATGTATTACAGAAGAAATAGCAGATGAATGCGACAATATTTCAAAATGACCAAGGAGTAAAAATTATTCCAAAAGCTCTCGGACACGTATAAAAGTCAGATTTAACTCAAAACACGTAAAGCCTTTTAATCGGGAGTATTTAATAAGGTTTAATGAACGAGAAAAATATAGGCCTTCCTTCACGAATTAAGGTAAGACCCCGTTCACGCTACGCCGGAGAAGTTTGAAGACGGCGTTTTCACTCTCTCGATTACCAGCCGCTGTTCGGGAAACGTAGAGCGGACGCGAGAAAGCGGCGGAAATCGAGCCTAAACAATCACCGAACAATTTGGATTTGTGTTTGAGGAAAACTCGGGCTAGGAAATCACACGATTATCGTGATGTTATCGCCTTTCCAAAAGCTCCGTTTTCAAAATGTTGTCCGTCCACACTAAAACGCAAAGCCGGCGTTTTCAAATTCCTCCGGTTTGAAGAGCGTTTTCGAAAAGCTCCTTTTTCGAGACGGATTAGTGCGGACAACAGGCCTAACGGTAGAAATAAAGCTGTGTTTTCAAATTTCTCAAGTGTAGTGTGGACGGGGCCCAAATGTTTAATACTTTGTCATGTTTGGATGTCCTGTTATCATTGGGTGATCTGTTGACATTCGTCGAATCTATTTTCTCAGGCATTTTCAAAACTCATTTCATGTCCAGTCTGATGGAATCGATTTAACAATGCAATCCTGCGGAGGAAGAGAAACATTGCGGAGTGATTAGAGGTAACAGCCACCCATGTAGTCAAAAAACAACAAATAAATACGCAACAAGCAAACTAACAAAAACATGATCCTTGTCTATCCAGCTTCCAGTAATGATTGTTCCATGGATAAATCTTCGAACAAATCTTGTTTTTCAACAGCTTTAGGAGTTTCTGCAAAAAATAAAATGAAAATAATCAACAACAACTGTCGGGCTATGTATTCTGGTTTTTAAGATAAATTTCGACACTTGATGGAACCATAATTAATGCAAGATATTAACATATAATATATTCCTTGTCTAAATTAAGAAGGACAAGAGAAAAGAGCGATTAAAATCGTGGCAAAATTATTTCTATGAAAACTATGGCTGCTGAAAGAAGTGAACGTAATAACAACCGTAGAAGTGCGCGCGTCAAAACAATTTGAATAAAGCACGCGCGCATCACCCATGAAGATCACCACGGCGACCGCAATGCATCAGCAAAAGAACTTTTGTTTGTAAAATTTGCCATTGGTGAACACATCTGTAACCTAAAGGTTAGAGTCAACAATGTTCTCTCTAAGCAAATAAAACTCTTTGACAATTTGGATTTTGTACTGTCTTCAAGTTGAAATTTGAGAGTGTGATTAATTAAAGAGTGGGAAAAGAAAAAAGTACAGGAGAGAACTCAGAGTCTGAAAATACGCAAAAAAGTCTTACCTTCTCTGTTAATTAAGCGGATGCGTGAGATATGCTAACAGTAAGAAAAAATATCATCGCCATAAGCGGAAATACCAACTTCATGCTTGCAACAAATCTTTTTTCTTCTCACGATGAACGCACTGCTGGTTTGTTCCGCGAAAAGAACAAACCAAAGGTTGACATCACAAACAGTTTTTATGACGCTTGCTTGCGTGCTCTAGAACTTGCGCGCGAGATTAGTAGGTGGCTCGTCCTCAGTTTTCTTCGGCTAAGGGAACAACTAAACTATACTACTTGGTAAATGAAACACGCACGAATCTCCAACCATCAAAGTTGGGTGTCTGTTGGTCTGCTCTGCTTTTGTGGTACTTCAATGGTGATTTGACCGGATTTCGCCTAATAGAAACACGCAAACGGATTGAGCCAAGAAATACATCCCATTCACTTTTATTACTCCCTATTATACCTTTGGTACAAATGGTATTACGTCACCGATGCTACGTAAAATACTTTTTCTTGGCATTTTTTTGCCAACTTTTGCAAAGCCAGGAAAGACTTTCTCAATTTTGATATAGATTTGGACATATGCCACTTGACAAGAAACAACACATTAACCGAGTAAGCCGCGTGTTATATTTCACAGTCAATTTCCATTTCCAACCATTGAAATATCTGTCTATATTACTGCCTGATCAAAGTCATGGAGGAATTGGACGTGCTGGGTAGTACGATTTACAAGAGAGCAGTAACTTACTCTTGTTTTCCCACAAAATGCTAACAATGGAAACAATCAACAGGAAAAAAAGATTAATGGCTAGTGAAGAAGAAAAGAGCAAACATAAAGACACCAGGCTATGTCAGAAACCAGTCACTCGGCTAATTGGCTCCTGCTAATGTAGAAAAGCGTAGCAGTAGCTCCTAAGCTATCCCAAAGCCGTGTGAGAGTCCTCCCCTGAGTCCCCTTCCTGCGTCGCGGGGAGGGGCTATTGGGGACGTGGTGAACATCACCCATTGACAACGAAAATTGACGTTGTTGTGCAGTGAGCGGCAGACAAGTCTAAAGCCAAATTCGATTTTGTCCAGGACACAGAGAGTTGAGGACAGTCTTTCGTCAGGAAATAACGTACTACGTTGAGCAGATAAATCAATTGGTTTATTTCAGTGTTATCATTCAAGATCGACACGAATAGCTGTTTGATAGCAATTTTACGCCTGGCAAATAGATAGCCTGAAAATTAGATCGTTAATATCAGCCTAAATCCTGTTGGCTTTTCAAAATATAAATAGCTATTTTGTAGACGGCTGATTTGCATTTTGAAAGCATGCTTCGCGGACCTATCGATATCTTTAAACCACGTCTGCACTACTGTTTTCATTTGGTCAGCACCGTTCCATGGTGAAGTAGAAATTCAAAATGGCGTCGGAACCGGGCTTTGTTCCGACTGCTGTGAATGTGGACATTGAAGGCGATATTACGGTCCCTGGTGCTCCTGATGAGGATGAGGGACCTAGTACATTAGACGAACCAGTTTCAGCGACATTAGTGAGTTGTATTTCTGCGTCATTTCATTCATTTTGAAGCTCTGATCTTTCGTGAAATCTTTTGCAAGCTAAGAGATCATCGATTCATGTTCTTTCCTGTTTAATTTGCCTGTCATTTACACTTAATGTTCTGGTTTCTGATATGCTGTTTCATATTTAGAAGCGAGATTTAGCAGCAGTGGGCAAGAAATTCTTCCATGTACTTATTCCAAGACAGAGCAAAAGCTTACTAAGAGATTGTAAGATATGTTTTACTCTTCGTCGTTTATGTCATCTTATCTTGATAATAAACTTGGCATCATTCTGGATAATTTGTAATCCATCGCGTACAAAGAACAGTTAAGTCATAACTATGGCTTATATCTTTCTTTCAGGGGATCTTTGGGGACCTTTGATCCTTTGTGTACTTCTCGCGATGTAAGTACAAAATTAACGTTTAACTTATTAAAACAATTTTTTGTTATAACCTTACATGTATGCACTTAAGCCTGCATATTGGTTTTAGTCTTGGCCTTGCGGTAAGACATGTGCTCAAAAATTACGTATGCTTGGAGCTCATGAAAGCGGGCTGTAGCAATACATCATATTTTATATCTGATTAATATTTACATTGCCCTTGTGAATATGTTTATGTTAATAGCATTTTTGTAGAAAGCTCAGGTATCCTTGGTGTCAAAATTATCAGGTCGATGTTTTCTGTAAGAAGCCTAATACAAATCTCCAGATTGCACTTTCAATTTATTTTAAATAAGCATTTAAGCAGCAGCTAAAAGGAATCATTTAATTGACTAACTTAAGAACTTTAATAAAACTTCAAATGATTTATTTTTTTCATATTTGCCATCAGCCTGACAATGTAATGTTATCCCTTACAAAACAGTAACCATCTCTATGCAAAAATTTTGGCCTGTTTTGAATTCATTCAGATCAAATGCTAGGAGATCGAGACTCAGAGATAAAATCAGGAGACCAAAATGAGTATTACAAACAAATGTTTGAAATGTCATTGTTGTAACAATTTCATTTTCCACCAAAACCCGCAAATTGTTAACAGGTGTTTTTGTGAGAGAAGAAAACATTTTTTCATGTTGGTGCATGAAAAAGTTCTGTTATTGTCAGCACAGATTCTAAAAGGATGGATATTCAACTGTGAAACTTGTCTATTCTGAATAGTTTAGTCAAGCTATCAGTAACACAAAAAGTGAAGTCAAACTGAAGCTGATATTTAAATTATTTGGCAGAACATCAAGTCAGTATGCCATTCCCGGAGATGCCAACTGCAATAAACTTGAAAACCAGGGGAACACCAATTTAATCTTCTGCAACGTGGAAAGACATTGTTTAAATTACAGCCCACTGAATTTAAAAATGTGTAAAATATCCAATAATATTTCCCCTGAAATACCAAGAATTAGCCAAACTTAAGTGTCACAGTTCCCACTTCTTGTTAATCTACATCCATCTGCATTAATCTTCCCCATCCTTGCTTCTTTATGGTTAATTATTATCTCTTTGGTGTTTCTCTATCTTAGTAAAATACCATTTTAAGGTTTTCTTCAATGCAAAGGCAATTTTGCAAATGACCAAGCTCTTTTAAACACTGTTTCGGTATATCCCATGGATTGAGTGACCTGTACAGAATACTGGGAGAGTTGACCTCTACCCAGGAGAGTTGGCATAGATGCATTTCAGTATGTGAATTTATTCTGGCCATGATTTGTCATTTTCCTGCACAATCCTTGCCCAGTGTGATTTTGGCCTCTTAACGTCATCTATGTATCTGCCTATTAATTCCTTTAGCACAGTTGGTTATAGATTAGAATACATAGCTTGCCATAGAATTGTAGTACTCCGATACTTTCATACAAGAAATGAACTTGGAAGTCTGCAGTTTTTTGCAGTCTGATGTAAGACTAACCTTGATGTTTGCATTAATTCTTGTGAACAGGATGCTTCAAGGCCATACAGTGGTAGACAGCAACAATGATGGTGGACCGCAGTTTGCCGAGGTGTTTGTTGTGGTGTGGGTAGGAGCTATAGTCGTCACTGTCAATTCAAAGTTACTTGGTGGTACAATGTAAGTATAAATGAAGAACTGCACAATTAACATCTAAAGTACTGCTGTTTTCACTTGGAAAAGCATTGCCCTTGACTTAGTGCCCCGCATGAATTAGCTATTTATACATGTACATAAGTGGCTCTGATAATAATATTGAAGCACACTTGAGCTCTAAAGTGGTGCTTATTGAAAGAGGATTACTGGTACATCTCTATATAGCTGCTTGGCTTCAATATCCATGTAGTAAATAGAGTGGCACTGATGTTGTTAAGGAGGCTGGCACCAATTTTCAGAACTTTTTCAAAAGCTATACTTGTTTGCTATGTGCAACTTTGGTATCACATAAATGCCCAGCCATTAGTGAACCAATAATGGTAATCTCTATGCCATAATAAGTTACCATAGTGACCATACAACCTGTTAAAAACACCCTTAATTTTACCATTAAATGTTTATAACTCAAAAATGAGTTCGGTAGCCTGCGAATGGAGGCGTATTTCCAGCTGTCGCTTGTCTCTGCCAAAAATAACGTCTGCGAACCCAAGCCAGGAAATGATTTCTGTGATGTAGGAATTTTAAGTCAATCACAGTTTAGCTCGAGTAGCCCCAGAACTACTGCGCGAGGTATTCGCTGCGAGGAGCACTTGAGTTCCATTCTATCATGGAATCTGATTGGCCAAGGAGAAACAAAAGTCATTACGTGACAGAAATCATCTCCTGGCTCAGGTTTGCAGACGTTATTTTTGGGTGAGACAAGCGACAGCCGGAAATACGTCTGCATTCGCAGGCTATGAGTTTGGTGACCCCCATTTTTTTATTATTGAATTGTGATAAGCATGATAAGATGCAACTTTTTGCAAAGTTTAGAAATGTCTGTGCAGAGGGTTCAGAGCCATCTTAAATTTTTAAGGGCTTGTCTGATGTGGCATATCGTCTGGTCCAAGGGATGTATTTTCTTTTTTGGCAAAGTAGTTGAGCCCCCCATCCAAGGTCCTGTTAGCAGCTAAATTAAGATGACAGCAATCTGGCCTGACTGCATAAAATCACAAAAAAATGATGGTAAAAAATTGACATTTACCTGTCAAGACACAAGTAACTGTCAAATTCCCTTACTAATTTTCCATAAATGAAATATCATGTCAGGTTATTTATTCACAAGTTTTAATGACACAACTAGCTAACTTCTTTTGAAATGATCATCATTTAGATAAACTCCCCACATGTGAAATGTACATCGTGGAGAACAGTATTTATAGAGAGAATTTATATGTAAATTTATACAAATTAAGAGAGCGATTACCATTACTTGAGTTCACACTAGCAGTGTAATCAGACTGTGCCCTTAGCAGCAGTTGAAACAAAATTTAAACTAACTCATGGAGGGTGGGTGGAGCGATCCTGTTACTGATTGGCTGCATAGAACTTATTCTTGTGCCCATATTTTGTTACAAGTTCAGTTTAGAAGTATAGATCTGTCAGCAGATAGAATGCAAAGTTTCTCTGTCGAGCACACAAATTGCAGCTTGATGGGGTTCCCCTGTATGGACAATCAGCAAATTTATATCTTATGGGGTTTAACTCCACCTGACTGCCACTGATTCATGTATCCTGCTTGAGCATAGCCCAATGGCTGAATATTGGCAAACTGGCTAAACAGACACCTTTTATAGTATGATCTGGGAGATTGGCAGATTAGATATTCCAGTATGAGGTTTTTTGTACATTTTAAGGCCCAGTACTATTAAGAGAAAACTCACGATTAAAAAAATAATTGATGGCTGATTTTAATATCTAGAACAGCCCAAACTTACAGTAATAACCAAATGGACTGCCAAAGATAGTTTATGTGTAATTTATGAAGCAGGGAGTAGGGTCAAAACATTGGCTAAACAGTGTTACTGAATTTGCCATTGCAGATCATTTTTCCAGAGTGTTTGTGTTCTTGGATATTGTATTCTTCCCTTGGACATAGCTCTAACAGTGTGTCGACTCATATTAATCACCAAGCAGACTGCGGCGTTATTTGCTGTTAGATTTATTCTCGTCATATTGGGATTTGCATGGTCAACATTTGGTAAGTTAGGCTGATGTTTGCATTATGTAGCCTGTGTTACTTCAGTTTTATCCATAACTCCCCGGGGATATTGGGCTGGAAATTCTTCTTCGCTAATAAGGCCACGTGGTCATGTACAGCCACTGCTGCCCTGCTCCACAACAAAAAACCAACTTGAAATTGATAACAGTAAATGAACCACCCTAACAGGTTTGTGAAGCTGATGTTGCAAGCATTTGCCTTTTGCTCTTAGGGCTAACGCTTAAAATGTTGACTTCACAAACTCACTACAGCAATAAATTTACCTTTATCAATTTTATAGAGTTGATAAATGGCTTTTAATTACTACTTGCTCTCATTTTCTATGAGTGACAGGCCACTTGACAGTTTGACTGTTCCCTTGTAGAAAAATCAGACTAGTGAATTAAATACATGTAGAGTAAAAAAGGAACAATGAAAGAGAAATCGCTCTATAGAGCATTTCTGTTCATTTCAATGTTTTTAAATATTTATTTTCACTATTTGCACTTTTGCAACCAATTTTTTTTTTTTTTTTTTGCTGCTTGTGGCTTACTTACTAGTTTTTCTTTTCTTTCCTTTTTTTTTTAAATTATAATTTAACGTCCTTTTCGGTGAAGCCATCAAGTTGATTTAGCGCTCTTAAAGTTTTATTATTGCGTAAATATAGCACATTGTACAAGAATACGGCGGCGGAAATATGCCGAGATAACATGGCACACGGTGCAATAACACTAACAGGAAATATACACAATTCTAATGAAGCTTGCATAAGGGCGAGAACCGAGTTGTCTCAATTTCTTTCTCAAAGTTGACATTAATCAAGTCTTGGGTTTGCGAAAGAGTCTTTTGATCTGTCACGGTTTGCAAGTTAAAGCGTATTAGGCTAATGTAAGAATTTGACTAAGAAAACAATCTTTGCCACATTTCCTAAAAGAGCCATTTTGTTCGAATCGCGTTTCATTTGAAACTGCAAAGTTCTTCTACGTTGAATCGCGCACACACGCGCGGTTTTCTGTTCGCAGGTTTTGTTTTTCCTTATCATTACATCGAGCATTAAATGAAAGAAAAATTGACAGGCCAGTTTCTCACAAGTACTCCTCTAATTACTTTTAAAAGAATTCTTGAATCCTGCCGGAAAACCCCCACATTTCAATAACCTTTGACAAATAATAATTAACGAGTTAGGTTTCGTCTCGAATTCTCTATCTTAATTTTCTGCTCAGTTATTGTAATACCGTTGATTTCCCAAGGAAAAAAAAAACAGTTTTTCGTTTTCTATTTCCTTCTAATAAAAAAGCCGCCACAATTGGAAGTCTTTCTGTCAAACATGTGCAAATTTGCTGCACCGTTTTCGCGACAGAACGCGTTCGATCCATTTACGGAAAGCTCCAGCTTAATTCGTTTCGACAACAGCAGAGGTTATTGTTACTTGTGATGAGATTCAAACTGTGTCGCCCCACAGAGATGGTTTAACGCGGTTGTTTCATTCGGATTAATAGCTCTATTCAGCTGTCGTAACATTTGAATTAGTAATCCAACACTAGCAGTGTAAGCGAGTGATCCGTGTATTTCGATATCGTTTGAAACATTTTAGCACGCGCGATTGAAACGAAGACCTTTAATATCAACACCATAGAACTCCCGAAGAGTTTGAAAAATGGGGTTTTCAGCTATCGGAAGCTCTACAGCTTAAAATTTCACCTTTTCAACCAAGGAAAAATGAAACACTGCTTAGAAATTATAAAGACTGATTCGGAAATAAGTCAAGCAAACGTCTTCTATAAACTTTACCATAAATAAAAACAGGGAAAACGCCCTAATTCTAAAACCGGGGATTTTCAATCCGGTGAACGCTCAAAGCAGAATTTTTCCGAAATTACTGATATTGGAGAGGCACATACGAAATTCAAGAGATAGTGTGCCATTTTAAAGTTTCTCAGATTTTATTACTTTTTGCCATTTACACTGACTATATTCCACACAACACCCTTTCATATCGCAAATCTTTTCAGTCACGCGCACATCAGAGGAAACCTCGACCAAGGAACTTGGATCCTTCTAAGAATTAACGGAACTCGCTTAATTACCATTGACTAAAAGAGTAAATAATCAGTTCAACATTATTTCGAGTCTGCCAGCTAATCATAAGAACTTTCAGCGATATCTCTGCTTTCTAAGCAAGCCAATTTTCTTATTCTTGACCAGAAGTTGCAACTATCATTGAACCGCTGAGATGCAATCTTAGGCAGCGGCGAGTATTGTTCGCCGCAGATCCTTCAAATTACCAAATTACACTGACTCCCTAATATGAAACGGCCTAAGTTTATAGAAAATCGACACACTGAGGCACAGGCACAAATGATAATGCTCCGAAAATGTCGAAAAAACACCGACATTTATTCAGAAGGGCACCGTTACAACACCTTGGTTTCAAGTGGGTTACACGGATAAATTTTTCACTTACCGGAAAAGATGGTCGCTATATTAGAATGAACCCTGAGGTTACATAAACTTCGCTTTATTTTTTGTTTGTTATTTTGCTGTGTCATTGCCCACAGGCTCTTTTGTAAAGCTAATTTCGACGAGGTGCCGGTCGCATTTTTAAACGAAAATTTGAAGAGTTGTTTTGACTGAGCGTATGTACTAACTAGCTTAATATCCGTCGAGAAACTTGTACACTTTGTCGAGTTATAAAACGCAGCAAAGTTTTGCGTACGAATGCGAAAAGGCAGAGATATTGAGAAAAATAAACACCTCAATCGATCATGTCATCGTTAAAAGATTCTAATGCCGCCAATTTGAAGTAGAACTTCGCGGAAAAGAACCTTCTCGTTTTTAAATGACCTTTAATAAACCAGAACTGAACACGTCCGGCTGGAACGAAACAATGGCTGCCATTTTCGTCTTTCAACTTTTACCTGAAAGAAATTGCTATCACTTTTTCGCCGCTGTAAATTTCGCGGAAAAAGTTAGTGATGAAAGTTAACGTAAAAGGGACTAAACAAGTCGATGTTTTCTCAAATTATTTCGAGTGTTATCGCGAAATATAAAATCAAAATTATTGAGCGCGTAGTCGAAAAGACTGGCAGGGTGCCCTGACTTCCGTTTTGTTTTCATATTTAAAACTCACTCGGACGTAGACCTTGCTGATATCAATGCCCTTATTTTAGATTTTCTAGTCTTCCCAACAAACACTCCTGTAAAACATAACATTTCTTAATCAGCGCTAATAAAAAAAAAGCATTATAGTAAGCTAAAGTTTAATTAGGCCTTTAAGAAGTTTCGAAAATCGCCGCCAGGAAAAAAATATGCAAAGTTGTGCTAACAATGAACTTGTCCAGTTTGAAATTCTCAAATTTTGTAAATGTCACTCGCAACAATCTTTCTGTAGCTAACAAAGTACGTATTGATCAAAAATAAGAATTTTTAATTTTCAGAAAGGACCGACGCAGTTTTTGTACGTTTTTGGAATTGTTGAGTCTGCTCTAGCTGCACACAAAGGGAGGAAACCGTAATCACTTAGCGGTCGTGCTATAAGTTTTTTTATGCACCTGTCGTTTCCCGACTAAAATTGTTTACCTACTTCACCTCATTTATACACTGCACATTTACGTCTAGTTTGAAACGACTTGTAAACGCTTGTAAGAATGCTTTAAAATAAAGAATACCCCAAAACTAACGCTGCAAGCACAAACGGAGAAGAGAAAACCACCTTGGACCATGAACAAAAAGCAACTTCGAAACTTCGAAAACACAATTTGAAAACTCTCTCAATTTTTCGATGACCATTTGTGATGCCACCTCGCTCAGTGTATGTTAATAATCGATCGTTACGAAATGAACTAAGAAACTGGTGAAAATATGAATTTCGCTCCAGGCAATACCGAGTAATGAAACTAGTTGGCATAAAAGAAGACAGCCGAAATGTCAAAATCTTCTGAAAAGGAAGAGTGGTTCGTATCTCTATATAATTTGTTAGCGTAGTAATTTAAGCCTGCAGCTGAGATACCAAACTATAGGACTGAATAAGAGAGCGGGTATTCTTGAAAAACATTAAAACTTTACCCCATAACCTGATTCAAGCCAACCATTACAAACAACGTAAACAAAACCTATTTACACAGTCTCTGAGGATTGTTTATAAACATCAGCACAAAAGTTGCCAAAACCTGAATCAAAGTCAAAAATTTGTGACTGGGATAAATTCAACGTTCCTCTTGCAGGAGCACCAGCAGTTCTTATACATACGAATTGCTTAAAAATATTTCTGAGAAATACATTGTTTCTCACAAAGTATACGAGATGTGCCTACGTTTAACAAAACCATAAAATTAGTTTCGCCTGTTCAGTTTTCGCAATAAAAACTGGTTGATTGGGCTCAATAAGACGTATTTACTTCTTAACGACAAACAATCATTTTTGTCCTTCTGTAATTAAATGCTCCGACAAAAACAGAGAAAACCAAAAAAAAAAACATATAATAATGGAATAAGCTATTGGGAGTAAAACGGAAGACAAAAGAAAAAGATGTGTCTACAATCCAGCAATGGCAAGCTTCTCTTTTAAGTTAATTTTAAACTGAGCATTACCTTTCTTTTTTTTGTCACGCCCTGATGACCGGCAAGTTAAATTAACCTATTTGGCCTTTCCAAGGGAGGAAAAAAGCTATTTATTTCTAAATTTTCTGGGTCCATTGTCATTAACCGTTCCCGCTTAATTATTTCCCTTTCAAGTTAACCGTGACGTAATAATTCTAGCTTAAGAAAATTGTATTTACATGTTTCCGACAGTGCAAGTTTAAGTTCATGGGGTGTGATTCCGGGAAAAAGTTCCGCAACTTAAAATTGGTCACGTCTTCAAAATATCGAGTAATTCTTTACGAACCAATGTAAGTGAGAACTCGATTGATCTAAGGCATCGCTTTTTCGTCTTTCTTTTATTTTTTGGATTCTGTAACCAAGTTTAACTCATCTCACTGCAAATTAACGTTGATAACCTTAATGGAATCATTCGTAGCCTTATTTGAATAACCTGGATTTTCAAGATTGAGTTGGAAGAAGAATTTTAACCGAAAATAAATTTCAGTCATAGCATAAAAGAAAAGAAAAACTTTTTAAACATCGCATGCCTTTAATCGAAACAGAATTTTATTAATTACACTAGCATGCCTCGTCATTTTAGGTCGCGGTAAATGTACAAAGCTACAAATTACCAAAACTGCCATTCAGAACAATAACACGTGCTAACAAGCGAAAACAAAAATATCGCTGTTGAAAGACTTCTTGCTATATAAACTGGTTCATCGTGCAATAAAAGCCAAATAGAGACTATTATGATTAACTTTCTAACAAATAGTGCGCACAAATGAGGTTCTAACAGCCACGTAAACTCATTTTAACGACCTCACGGACTGTAAATGAAGACGCTGATTTCTTTGCAATAATAAAACGGTTTCTAAAAGAGCTCATTAAACATAAACTGAACACACCCCTCGAAAAGCAAAAATTAATTTAAGTGCCAAGTAAACAACGATTTCTTTTTAATAACGCGTAATTCCTGACTTAGAAACCGCCAAGCTCATTACAAACAAATCGAGCAGATTTCCGCAAAGATAAAACGAAATTCGGAATATGAGGAAGAACAAAATCGGACCAACATGACCCGATGCAATGTAACACGAACTGCTATGAAAGAGGAAGTTAATTTATCGGATTGGGAAATTAATAAGTGGAAGATTTACTTGAGTCGGCAGCCCAAGGGACAGATTATCTATCTCAGCGATATTATCTGTAGGGAAATTGTAATGTAGATGTCTTTGCACGGAAAAGGAAGGCGTTGTTTTTTTCACGTCTTTTCTCATGCTATAGACTTGCTATCTTCTGTTTTGACTAAAAACTCCGTTATCAGAGCTATATAGAGAACCCCGCCTTACAGTCACCTCGTTAAAAAACGGTCACTTTTTTTGTCCCGGCGAAACCCTGATACATTTTCTTATAAGAAAACCCCGGTAATGCGGTCACCCCGTCAATACGGCCAAGGCCACATGCTAAAACCCGATCTGCATAATCCCTTATAATTTTACCCCCGTTTACACGGCCACTCGAACCAGCTATGTTCATCTTTCCGTTGTTAATATTGTATGTACTGATTGAAGGTTTTTGTTGTTGTTTTTTTTTAATTATTATATTGTATTCCGGATGCTTACTCAAGAACAGTTGTTTAGAAGTGCAATTGAGATATCTCTGTTAATACATCACTCAATTTAGACGAATCATGACCAAATTTTCATGGCCCGCTGGTCACGACCGGATTAACGGGGCTCTACTGTATTTACATGAAGTCCAGGGCGGTCGGCCTTCATCTTACCCTAAGCTACCGAGAATACTAGAAATTAAATGTGATCGATTGATACGTTCGAAAAAAGACAGTTCATTTTCAAGTTTTTTTATCTTGTTAACATGATTGTCTCAATTTCCTGAATGACTTTAGAGTTATTTCTTTTTAATGCTAAGAGTCCAAAAAAGTTGTCCCCGCTAAGTTCTAGGTTGGAACTAAATTCAGTTCTTAAACATCTTTATATCCTAACTTTCCATTTATCGAAAATACTTGAGTTTTATGGAAACTTAAGATTGAAATAAATCGTAAAAGGCTTATGTTAAATGACCTTGTAATTTCCCAGTAAAGAGCTTTTTTTTAAAAAAAAAAACCTCTTCAATTGAGGATATTGTACAAATGTCTTGATGTAATCCTAGATTCTTAGAACTAACATTGAAAGGAATATACGGTTATCGATGGGAAAATTCGGTTTCGGGAAAGTAAGGGATTTATTCCTTTGTCTGGTCAGTACTTGGAGCCGACTCTGTCATAGTTTTGAGTTAGTTGGTCTCATGCTTAGTGCGCTTGTCCCCGGATCGAGCGGTCCGGGTTCGAGCCCTGGCCGGGGACATTGTGTTGTGTCCTTGGGCAAGACACTTCACTATCGCAATGCCTCTCTCCTCCCAGGTAAATGAATTTAATGCTGGGGGTAGCCCTGCGATGGAATTAGCATCCCATCCAGGGGGAGTAAAAATACTCCTAATCGCTTCATACCACAGAAACCGTAATAAGGCTCCGACCTGGTGGGCCACTTGGCTCGTATGCAGACTTTACCTTTACCTTAAGCACGAATTAATAACTGTATGTTCCTTTCCTCAGGTCTGGTTTCAAAACCGACGGGCAAAATGGCGCAAGAAGGAGAAATGCTGGGGTCACAGTTCGATCATGGCTGAGTACGGCCTCTATGGAGCAATGGTACGTCATTCCTTACCCCTCCCACCTCATCTGACATCCAACTCGGCCCCATGGCTACTCGGCATGCACAAGAAAGCGAAGATAATGGAGGAGAAAATCAAGGTGGAAGGTTCCAACGAAAATGGCGATGACCTCAGGTCACACAGCATTGCATCACTGAGGCAGCGGGCTCAAGAACACAATGCTGCAGTGAAACAAGAACACGAGGCCATGATGCAGGCTTACAAACACGTGCCTGAGGAGGGTAGAAAGCCATCGGACACAGGCTCCGATGAAGAAGACGAATTGGAGGACTTGTGACTACTAGTGAAGGAATATCACTGCTCAAATATTCACTCAGACAAATTAAATTATGGGGTGTGACTTTGTCATTTTACCGCTGTGGCTCAGTCAGGAATGAACAGCCGCGTTCAGTGAAGGCGGGAAAACTGTGAAGAACGCCGCGAGTGTTTTCCGCCAAAATTCTTCACTTTGATGAAGGCGTTTCATACAAAGCAGTTAATTTATTGTTTTGACTTAAGTGTCCTTCGATTCCATCGTATTACTGAGCTACGAAAAAAAAGATGAGTTCCCCACAGCATTCGTGTATAGATAAAATATTAAAACTAAGCAGGACAGGGACGGCGGAGCCAGGGGGTACGGGGAGGGGCTTTAGTTCCCCCAATTTCAAGCAAAAAATACATGAAGTATTAATTTTACAAATATCTCCAAACCCCCTACAAGTTAGCGCCTCTGGCGATAGCTTGTAATAACAACAACAACAACCATTTTATTTTGCATAATACATAGAATATCATTCAAAACACGCTCTGCCATCCCTGCCAGGGAAGAAAAGATAAACTGAGAAAATTGTCAGTTCCTCACAAAAATATGCAGAAAAGAGCATGAGCGGTAAATGAAGTGACTTGTAAATGTTGTACATACTGGAAAAGAGTGAGACATATTTATTAAATAGAATGTTCATTTGAGAATGAGGCAATAAAGATTGAGACAATGCCAAATGAGCAGTGAAGAAAACTGATGTTAGTTCAGACACTGGTTATAATATGTATAAATGTTCGCCAAAAAGCAAATTTTAGGGAGGGAAGGGAAGGGGAGAGGACAGGACAGGACAAGGTAGGGGGGGAGAGGAGGGACGCACGAAACCAGTTTCCCTGGGAAAAAATACATTTCCAAGATTTCACAGTTCGTTGTGTTACAGATGGTATTCCAAAGTGACGCTGTAAGCTAAGGTGAAGCTCTTGAATTCCTTTCGCCTCGACCGTGAGAACTGAACTAAATCTGAACTTGAAGCGAAACCGAACTGTTTATGAGGCATGTCCCTTGGAGAGTGAGTGCCGCAAAGTTCTGATCCGCTCATCAATCGCATCTAACGTGAGGTTCTGTCAGTAGAAGAAAAATATCGAATTCCTGCTTTGTAAAGCGAAGTACTGAAATCCCCCGGGCTCTAAAGGAGGGGGGTGGGGGGGGGGGGGG